CCTCAACCCCCTTCACCCAACACGGACACACACAGCACCCCCAACCCGAAAACATCTTCCCGCGCCCCTGGTATATGTGTACGTTTAAAGTGGTAGCAGTAGACACTTCACACTCACACTGTAATCTTCAGACTGCCTCCATAAACTTCAGGTTTTACAATTAATCTTCACGTTGCAATTCTTTGTTTGTAATTTATTCAACTTCTGTTTTTTGCTCAAAGGTCCTGCAGGCCTCTGATATCCCCGGAGGTCTGGTCAGTATAATAACAGGGGGCAGGGATCAGCTGACCCAGGCACTTGCCAACCACAGTGTGATTCAAAGCATTTGGTATTGGGGAAGTAAAGAGGTGAGGGGATTTTTTTAAATTGGAAGAAGACAAATAGGCATTGAGATTTAGGGAATGGAAACACTATGTACCTTGGCAGGGGCGTACATTTACAAAGATGATGTTCTATATAACTGTATAAGCATATAGGCCCGCTTTGAGCAAGGAAAATGTTCTGTCAGCACTGATCTTATTGTATGTATGGAACTTCTTTTCGTCAGGGCTGTCAGTTTCTTCAATACTCCTGTGTCAGTCCCCTTAAACGTCTGTGGCTACACTGTGAAGAGGAGGAGGAGAGGGAAGCGGGACGAAACTGGACCAGCTCAAATCCCTCTCTTCAAGAAGAGCTTTGGAGGAAGGCGGTGGTCTGGAAAAGTATTTGGATCCCTACAGCATAAAGCACTTATTGTTAAAGTTTTCCACAAGCCATTTGGACAAATGAAAGCGACCGGGCATGTTAGGAGAACTTCCAACATTTGTTTCACTTTCACAAAGTCATGTGAAATAAGGAAGATTACTTTTATTATTGTTCCCCATGATAGACGGTTGCATCTGACAAATAAAGAACTGTTATAACAAGTCTAACTTGTTTATGGCAATATAGTAATCAGGTTTTATTACAAATGTAAAAAATGTTCAACATTATTATACATTACCTGTTGTCAGACATATGTCTTATGATTGTTTAGAGTGCTTAAATGAAAACTGTGATCAAAAAGATACTAAATGATCAGAAAACTGGCCCAAAATTAGTGGTACTCTGTTCCACTTAACCAAAAAAAAAAAAAAAACAGCAGTGGCAACCCATCCTTGATAGCACACATACATCATGGAGCCATCTATTTGATGTTTGCGTTTACATCTGCAAAATGTATTTTTAGTGCGTTTGCTCATCTCCAATACATCTCTAAGTCATTTCCTATCAGATGGTAAATAGACGTTTAGAAAATATCTTGAATTTGTTTATGATATAGAATGTATATAAAACTGCTCTAATACGTTTATCAGATGTTTTTACACATCATGTTTCCCAGATCAAGCGCTTTTTAACAGACGTACCTGTGCTATCTGGGAAGACTTAAGGTGCATCCCAAATCGCGTACTTATGCACTCTTCTATGACGTTTTGTAGTAAATAGTGCGAGTAGTGTGTTCAAACTGAAAATTCCAAAAAGAAAAAGTGCACATTAAATACCCGATGATGCACTTATAACCGAAAAAATGAGAGGCAGTTTTAACATTAAGTGACATGACATCTGACGCACAGATGCCATTGGCACATGCCACTATGCTCAGTGACACTTCCGGTTTTCAGTGGCACGTGTCAGTGGACAGTGGCATGTGTCACAAGTTTTAGTGACACATGCCACTGACAATCGGACAGTTCAGCTGTGTCATTTGGACAGCCGGTTTTCAAGTGGTATGTGTCAGTGAGAGACTCAAAATACAAATGAAAATCAGTCATAAAGACCTTCAAACAGGGTTTAGAACTATTTCTTTTACTTTTATGAATATGAAATTTACCAAATAAAATCATTAGATTCATCATAAAATTGACAGATGCATTTTTTGATTCAAAATATAAGATAACATCTTTGGATGTTAATTCACAATTATAACCAGATTTCTGTTGGCGATGTAATAAATCGTATGTTTGACAGCAACATACTGTTAATTAATTCAATATCGTTCTGCCGTTAAGTGCGTGTCACGCAATCTACATTATGCAGCGACACCCAGCGGCAGGTGTCAGTCACTACCATAGACTGTATAAAAACGGTCACTACAGAAGGTGCGACACGCACCGCGCCAACTGACACAAGACGCAGTGCATTGACATGTGTCACAGGTTTTAGTGACACATGCCACTGAACACAAGTTTTAGTGACACTTTTAGTGACACATGCCACTCTCCACTGACACATGCCAATGAAAATCGGACAGTTCAGCTGTGTCATTTGGACAGCCGGTTTTCAAGTGGTATGTGTCAGTAAAACTTGTGACCTGTGCCGATGTATTGCGTCCTGTGTCACTGACATTGTCACGATCATGTCGCAGTATGTTGCCTCCAGTTGTGACTGGCAGATGAGTTGTAGCAGCATTGACATGTGTCACAGGTTTTAGTGACACATGCCACTGAAAACCGGAAGTGTCACTGAGCATAGTGACACTGTGCGTCAGATGTCATGCCACAATGTTAAAACTCCTGCTGAAAAATGAAGTGTGTAATGTTGGACACTTCATGCACTCAACTGTCACAGCTTTAATTAGGTAGGAGGAGCGGTTATGACTCCGATTATGAATCACAAAATAACCTTATATAATTCATACGCTACATGGTTGAGTAGGTACAGGTATAGCGCGTCATTTGGGACGCAGCTTTAAAAAGTAGCCTATTACATTACGTGTCTCCTCATTCCCCAATAATATCCAACTGCAGCCCCGCAGCCCCACACGTTTCAGGACACACAATCCAGACCATGTTTTTCAAACATGACGTCAGTGTGTGGCACATCTGTATTTGAGCAGATGACACTGAATGTTGTGCAATAGCCTACCAGTGCTATTGTATGTGGGTGATCACGCAGACTACCCATTCTAGGATACACACGGGGAAAAAATGATCATGGATCACTACGAATACCGCATTAACACTTACATCCGTTACTGTAACCCTTTATTTTTGTATGATGCTGCATGCACGTCGGTAGGTGTCAGTATAAATTTAACATTGGCCAGCGCCAGATTATCATCTGGCTTTAATATTTTATATAGTAATATAATAATTAAATATAAGCTGCTTTTCTGAAATGGCTCAAGACATAATTGTGTAACTTGTGCACACTTGTGCAATGGTATGTCATTGTAGGGAATGGATGTGTGGACAGCTGACGCATATGTTGTGGCTACCTGGTTACCTCCAAATAATTTGGACCCATCACTGTCTTTTCCAGTAAGGCCATAAAGTTACATCACATTCATAATACTGAAAATGTAATTTAAATCTGACTGAAAAAAAACTGTTTATTTTTTATTTTTTTTATTATCTATAGGATCACATTGCATTCAAAGATGCTATTGTCTTAAATGTTACAGGACAGAAAACCTCCAGAAGACACTAGAGCTACATGAAGAACAAGCTACACCCAGCAGCAGTGAGGTATTTGTCAGTAAATATGTGTTGTTGCAAATGTGTAATTTATATGAAATAGTAAAACTGTATTATTCTTTGACATTTTGTAATGAAGGAGCTCACTATAATCAAACACATGAAACTGGCTGTAAAATGGATACATGCCAATAGACATGTGTTCAGGGGCCCTGTGGAAGAGCCTCTTTTCCTCAGAATGGAAGAGGATGACAAGGAAAAGACCCTCCAAAATCTCATCAAAGATGTGGAAGACTGCAGAGACCCATTCACATTTAATTTTTCATTCAGGGAAGACATGGAGATTTTTTTAGTTGAATGCCATGAAAAAATGGGATTAAAATTGAATTCTTCTTTTGAAGAGTGAAAAGTATAAGACTTTCAAAAGCTTTTTTTTTATTTATTACAATTACATTTCTAAATTTTAATTTTAGTTCTATTTTTGGTTGTTGAAATGTTTTTTTTATTAGTATGTTGCACTTTTTCCATGTTCAATTTGAATTTTAAAATAAAAAGTATTCTTGACATCAAACGTCCATTCTCTGTGTCTTTAAGTATTTGTTACAAAACAAACATGACCTAAATATCTCATCATAACCTACAGTCAAAAAAAAAATGTTACGGTTTACTAGATTGATCAAAATGAATATACATTTAAAAAATAAAATTTTTTTTTTTTATATAATTTTTTTAGTATTTTGTGTATTATTAAATATTGTAAATCCTATCAAAATTCTTGGGATAGCTCACATTACATCTAACAAAAAGAGTGAAAAGTATAAGACTTTCAAAAGCTTTTTTTGTTTTGTTTTGTTTTTTAGATTACAATTACATTTCTAAATTTTAATTTTAGTTCTATTTTTGGTTGTTGAAATGTTTTTTTTATTAGTATGTTGCACTTTTTCCATGTTCAATTTGAATTTTAAAATAAAAAGTATTCTTGACATCAAACGTCCATTCTCTGTGTCTTTAAGTATTTGTTACAAAACAAACATGACCTAAATATCTCATCATAACCTACAGTCAAAAAAAAAATTTTACGGTTTACTAGATTGATCAAAATGAATATCAATTTAAAAAATAAAAATAAAATTTTAATATAATTTTTTAGTATTTTGTGTATTATTAAATATTGTAAATCCTATCAAAATTCTTGGGATAGCTCATATTACATCTAACAAAAGAAAATTGCACTACAAAACTGCGACAGATCCACCGTTAACCATATATGGTTCGCCTTACTTCCGGCCTGGGTCGTGTGGTCTGGATTGTGTGTCCTGAAACGTGTGGGGCTGCGGGTCTGCGGCTGGATATATCTCCCTCATTCAGCAATAGATGGACATCTGTAACTACCCAAAAGTCTTATATATTTAAAAAAAACGGATATACATCAAATGTGGCGTTCTGACACCGAAATCTGTTTAAAGCTGAAATGAAGACCGTTCAAGTTTGAAACGCACTCACGTCACGCATAAGGAAGTGAAAAGGCGAAAAGCTGCTGAGTCACAGTGACACAGCACAATGCCACGGTCTTGTGAGTGTACATGTTTTATTGCTGACAAAAGTGGGGTTTCGTGTGCAAATTATGACACCAAATGCTTAGTTACTGTCACCTTTGCATCTGAAGGCAGTTACTAAGTGAAAAACAGAGCGCCATATAGCTGTTAGACGCCCATGATATTTACCATAGTATATACACAGCACAGCAAATTCAACGTTATTATGATGTTTTTAGATTAGCATCATGTTGGTGAAAATTTATTATTTAAGCCTTATTAAACTATTTCATTGCACTATTTCAACACACTTTGATCCTTTGAACCCTGCAAACAAAGTCAAGATGTTGCCATCTGGTCGACGCTACAGAGCTCTGAGCACCAGAACGCAGTGTTGCCAACTAATTTTCAGGGGAAGAACACTTAACAATAACTGTGGAACACACACTATTTATTCACTCATACACTTATTTATCTAACACACATACTCAGTCTACACCTCATATTTGCACATAATATACAGTACCTGTACATACAAAACTGTCTATTGTAATATACCTGCACATACAATTGTCAATTTATATATTTTTATTCCTTATTTACTTGTTCTATTTTTTTATTTTTTTTTATTTTTATTATCTGTGTTTTTGTTCTGTCACTGTCATTCTGTTACACTGTGGAAGCTTCTGTCACGAAAACAAATTCCTCGTATGTGAAAACCTGGCAATAAAGCTCATTCTGATTCTCATTCTGAAGTGTGCCAAGGAAGGCAAAGGGTCATTTCATCATTTCTGTAATAGTTCAAGGTTCAACCTTAAATGTTTGCTGTGAAAATACAATGTGGCACAGGTGTGAGGTTGATTAAAAGCAAACAACATGCTGAATTATAATTAACTAATTTCTGTACTTTGCCCAGTTAACGCGAATCTTAGAATAAAGTTTACTGTTCAATATTTTTTTCTTTCTGTTTTATATATTTAATTGCATTACACCCCTGTAATTTAAATATGCTATATGCCTGTTTAGTTACAAAACAACATCGAATTTACTGTTCTTAAAGTTTTGATATTGTCTACATTTTGTCTACATATTACTCACACAAACCTATAATGTCAAATCTTTTCCTGTTGGATTCAGCTTGCTATTACTTATGAAAATGGGGGAAAAAATGTATTATCTCCTTTGTCTACCGACTCTCAGCTGACTGTTTACCACGTCCTCATTCAGCTCGTTCTTTGATTGGCTGGTTTCAGTTTTACTGACGCGTCATGTTGTGAGCGTATATAAGATGAACGCACTCGCCTTACATTTCACAGCTTCAGGACGATCTGGAGAGGTTCTTGCTTCAACAGTGATTGAACGGAACTTCGATCTCGTTAGAATTTCCCTACGAAAACATCCCATTTCATTTTTTTTTTTTTTACCACCATTTTGTTAATAAAACGACAAAAAAATCCGCCGAAATGGATTCTCAGGTTCGCCAGAACTACGACCGCGATTGCGAGGCTATGATCAACAAGATGGTGAATTTGGAGCTTTACGCTGGATACACCTACACTTCCATGGCAAGTATCTAGTTTTTTTTTAAATCCATATGCTAAACCATGTCTTTTGACGTTTTTTTTTCTCTTGGTTGCGACAGTGTATGCAAATCAGACTTCCAGCTTGTAACGTTACTTCGTGTTTACTCTTGCGTTATTTTCACGACGCCACTAATCTGCGGTGAACGAGCTCGTCTCTCTTAGTGTTTTCAATCTTTTCCTTATCGATTTTGTTACTTTCAGGCTCACTACTTCAAACGGGATGACGTCGCCCTTCCTGGATTTGCCAAGTTCTTCAAGAAGAACAGTGAGGAGGAGCGCGAGCATGCTGAGAAATTCATGGAGTTCCAGAACAAGAGGGGTGGCCGCATCGTCCTTCAGGACATCAAGGTGACTGCATTTGAAATGTGCCTTTTCTATGTTGAACGATTTGATAAGCAAAACTGGCTCTGGATCTATGCGTATTTGTAAGGGCCTGTTGAATTGAAGGGAAGGGGGCATCACGTGCTAACTGACCTGTTTTTGTCTCCTCTACAGAAACCGGAGCGAGATGAGTGGGACAATGGACTGACTGCTATGCAGTGCGCTCTTCAGCTGGAGAAGAACGTCAACCAGGCTCTGCTGGACCTGCATAAGGTCGCTTCTGAGAAGGGAGACCCTCATGTGAGTTACGAAGTCCATGTTTTAATGTACATTAATGCCTCTGTTCCATCCTAATTTATTGAATTAAATGTCCTTGCATTTCTGATCTCTTGTCCAACAGCTGTGTGACTTCCTGGAGACTCACTACTTGGATGAGCAGGTTGAGGCCATCAAGAAGCTTGGTGACCACATCACCAACCTTACCAAGATGGATGCTGGCAACAACAGGATGGCAGAGTATCTGTTTGACAAGCACACCCTGGATGGCGACAGCAGCTAAATGCAGCCGTCTGATCATATGCATATTGCAAAACCTCCAGCTGTATTCTATGCTTAACTCAATGCTATGACTTTTAGAGGCTACATTTTATAAGATGCTTGCTAATTTAATCCATCATCTTGTGGTTTAGTCATCAAGCTGAATCTTTTGTTTAATGTACACTAATTGGTTTTAACCAAGTGAATTTGGTGAATAAACATTTTTGGCTGGATTTACTGGTCTCTTTATTTGTTTTCAACAAATGGGTGTATTAGAGGTTAGTGAATACGAAAGTGATGTTTGAGCCAGCACTTATCTTTTAGCAGTGTGTTTTTTTTTTTTTTTGTTTTTTTTTGTTTTTGTTTTTTTTCCCCCCCCCAGTCTGGCCTACAAAAAAGGTAATTATTAAATTATGTGACACTGTCGCTTATCAAAGTCTTTCCTGGATTAATTGATGCCGAATGCTATATGCTGCATATTGATTGACCTTCTAACTAATAACAGTTTATTGCAACGAGCATATATGCAGAAAATCAAATGATGTCTGGTTATGATTTATATAGATCCACACCTATTAGGCTTGATTACCAAGTGTGCAGTGCTCTATAGTTGTTTTTAACAACTTTCTTTGTTGACTGAAAACTGAACTGTAAATCACTCACCTAGCCTATCTGGGCCCGTATTCTTAAAGATTCTAAGAATCCTCACAGAGAACTCCTAATTTAGCTTAAAAATGTCTACGTAGGAGTCTTGGTTTAAGCGCAATTCAGGACCAATCTGAGAGCAACTCTGAGCTAGGAAAAGACAAAAACTTTCATCTTAGTGAGGAGGCGGTGCTGACCCCGTTGCTAAATATGACACAGTCTTTTGAAGACTGATTGGCTGGTTGTTCAAGGGGGGGGGGGAGAGAGTGCTTTTAGGGTTTATTATAAGCCTTCACTTTGACATTACAGGCGTAATCCTTCCTATTTTACTCTCTCACACACACATTATATACAGTATATATATAATTTTTTATTTACCATGCTGTTAATGTTGTACTTGAGGTAACATATTTAACGCGTTAAGTACGTGTTGTTTACGCGTGAAATACGCGTGTTTAACGTGCTAAAATTTTACACAACAACGCGTCAAATACGCATACTTAACGCATATTTCACGCGTTAGATACGTGTTGTTTGCGTGTGAAAAAATCAGCGCATATTTCACACGTATTTAAAGGGGTCATATGATGTTGCTAAAAAGAACATTATTTGGTGTAATGAAATGTGTTTATGCGGTTTAAGGTTAAAAAAACACATTATTTTCCAGATACTGTACATTATTGTTTCTCCTCTATGCCCCGCGCTGAAACACAGTGTTGTAAATACAACTTAACCACTGATTTCTAGTCATGTTCTCTTTTGGAAGGCCAAACAAAGTAGTTTCATTTCACAACGAAACACACAGCGTCACACACGGCGGCCTAGAGCGAGGAATGGCCGGCGGGCTAGAGTGATCGGCGGCGGGCTTGAGTGTGCGGAGGCCGGTGGATTAGACGAAGGCACAGCGCGAAGTTGATGTATTTCCTCAGCGACCAGCACGGATCAGCTTGAACGCATGATGAAGCGGATATTGTCCTTTTTTGGAAGGCCAAACAAAGTAGTTTCGCTTTCACAACGAAACACACAGCGTCTTTACGACATGGCGGCGGCAGCAACAATACTACAGCGAGAATAAAAGTTACGCCTTCTTTCTTTGAGTGAACATTTGGGCGGCGTTATGCAAATCTTCCCACATCGTGACGTAAACATGTGGGGGCGTGTTAGAACGAGACGTTTTAGGTAGGTGTGGTTGACTCTTAACTTTTATGAAGAATATCTCTTTGGATTTGAGACTTTAGTCTTTGCAACTTTACAGATCTTCTTTATGCACCAAGAGCTTGTAACACTTCAAAGAGAAAGGAAAAATTTAAATCGCATCATATGACCCCTTTAACACGTATTTCACGGCGAAATACGCATTAAATACGTGTGAAATACACGTTAAAAATCGTTTGAAGGGGTCAGTGTCATTGGCTGCTGAAAACTTAGGTCAAACCATTTCTGTGAGCTTAAGGGGGTGTACTATTCATGGACTACTAGGATGCCACCATTTAACATGCTATAGATCAGCTTATTCAGCCTTTTTATTTCGTCCTTTTTTGTCTTTTTTGTATAGCCTATAGAAATAATATATTTAAATTGCAGTTTTATGAAAAATTTGATATTAGATATAAAATTGCCACGTTTTTCTCCACGTATGCCTTTTTTTAGTAAATAAACACATTAGTGGACATAGCTTTAACAGTGATCAAACTTAAGTTAGCATCAAAACTTTAACATTTGTGTGGGGAAATCAGTTACAGTGGAGGTAATGCAGGTTTAAGACAGACCATTGTAATCAATATCTGTCTTTGGAAAACAACATGAGCTTTTCTTGTGCTTACATTTACAGCTATGAGCGCTTATTATGCACTCATCAGACAAACATGCAGGTGATATTATCCATTTAAATGAATTTAAAGACGTAAAGTATTTAAATATGGCATTTTAGAATGTATTTAAGACTTTCAAGTCAGGTATAAGAACTTGATTTGGCTTTCCTGACAGCAGAAGTATTCTACCGCTACCACCATTTAAGATCCTCCTATTACTTTTTTTTTTTTGTAATTTTCTTGCTTTTCTTGTGTAGTCCAAAGAAAATACCTAGATTGCAGTTTTATGAAAAAATATTTTTATCAAGATAAGATTGCCCCTTTTTGCACATTAGTAGGCATTCTAGCTTTAACACCATTCACCACACCTCAAGTTTTCTAACATTAAAAACTAACATTTGATTGGGGAAAAGGGTACATATGTGGTTCTTGATCAGTGCAATTGTAATGAATATCTGTTTTTGATAAACAACATAACCTTGGTTTTTTAGATTTAATTCACAAGCTTGGATATCAACTGGCCTGGCTCAGTCAGAGCAGTGGCGGTTCTACATTGAATTACACCCTGGGCGAGACCCCCTTCGAGCGCCCCCAACCCCCAAAACTCAGAAACTACCTCAAATACACTAACATGTGTATATGGTCAAATCTTGTGCAATAAACGGTCAAACTCAATATGATGACTCCGACTCCCTGACAAGAGTTCTGCAGCGGTCAATAACTATTAACCAGCATTCAGTGGGGCAATCCCCAATATTGGTCCTTCGAGCCGGATCTATTGACTACTTCAGTGATGTCATCGAAAGAGCAAGCCACTTCTCTCCCTCCAGCTGAGACGTCAGACAGACCCTCACGGCATCGTCGCACACCCAGACATCTGGAGGAGTATCTTCTTGACTATGGCCATCACCGACCTGCTCTTTCCTCCCCACCCACAGAAGAGGCACAAGCGGACTAGAAAGGAGCAGCAGCCGCAGTGGGCCTAGCTAGTCAGTCACGACCAGTCTCCAGCCAGGGTGAGCATCCAGACACAAGCTCCACGGACTTGTTGAGCATGAGTTCATTGAGGAAAATGTTGAAGTCTATTTCTGACAAGGAGAAGGATGAGGCTGCTGATATGGCTGCACTTCACAGTAAACTTCTACACCCTGGGCGAGACCCCCTTCGAGCGCCCCCAACCCCCAAAACTCAGAAACTACCTCAAATACACTAACATGTGTATATGGTCAAATCTTGTGCAATAAACGGTCAAACTCAATATGATGACTCCGACTCCCTGACAAGAGTTCTGCAGCGGTCAATAACTATTAACCAGCATTCAGTGGGGCAATCCCCAATATTGGTCCTTCGAGCCGGATCTATTGACTACTTCAGTGATGTCATCGAAAGAGCAAGCCACTTCTCTCCCGCCAGCTGAGACGTCAGACAGACCCTCACGGCATCGTCGCACACCCAGACATCTGGAGGAGTATCTTCTTGACTATGGCCATCACCGACCTGCTCTTTCCTCCCCACCCACAGAAGAGGCACAAGCGGACTAGAAAGGAGCAGCAGCCGCAGTGGGCCTAGCTAGTCAGTCACGACCAGTCTCCAGCCAGGGTGAGCATCCAGACACAAGCTCCACGGACTTGTTGAGCATGAGTTCATTGAGGAAAATGTTGAAGTCTATTTCTGACAAGGAGAAGGATGAGGCTGCTGATATGGCTGCACTTCACAGTAAACTTCAACAATATGAAAAACGACAGCGTCAGCGTAAAGAGCTGATGGAACATATCACGTTTTTCCTGAGGGAAGAAGAGGATGATGAGGATGGTCAAAGTGGAAAGCCCGCAACATCACCAGCAAGATCCCCTTCAGTAACTTCTTTACATCTGCCTCCCTCAAGTCATTCTACACCTTCATCACAGTCACCTGACATTGAACTACCTACCCAGGGACGTGTGAGTGACTCACAAAGGAATGCAAGTAAGTCTCCTGCGGAGGCTGAGGACTACAACCCTGGATTTGTTCCAATATGTCCAGTCAGTTCAATCCCCTTGTATTCACCAGTTTCATCTGGAACGTTAACCTTCTGTTTCGCAACAACCTGCTACAAGAGCAGAGACTGTGCCACCACTGTTTACGAAGCAGTTTCCCCTTTACGATGATGCTAGAAAAGCTTTTCAGCCCCAAGTGCAGCCACATCTAATGGCACCTACATCAGCCTACCAGCACCTTAATGCAGCATATGGCCACTTGGCAGTGTCACCTTCACAACAACAGTTAGGCTCAGCCAGACTTTGGAGCGATTTACCTCGTGTTATGTCGTCAGCGGGGTTTTCCTGTGTATTCACGTACCTCCAGGATCTGTGATCTGTTAATTCTTGTATCTCGGAGACTCGGGTTCCGACAAACACCTTATATCGACAGGAGTCTGACTGAATCCACTCTAGCACAGTCAAGGAGTCTGTCCATAGGATCGTCTGACTGATGGAGAGAGTCATCTCATTCTTCACCAGTTTGGCTAGCTGTGCTCCAGCTAAGGCGGCACAAAGCTCCAGACGAGGTATAGACTGCTGCCGTTTTGGAGCAACCCTCGATCTGGCTATTATGAAGGAAACGTGAATGTCACTGTCGGATTGAACTGCGAAATATGCCACTGCCCCATACGCCTTTTCAGAGGCATCGCAGAACACATGGAGGGAAATGTTCTGTTCTACTGTAGTTGTGAAGGCTGTTAAGTAACAGCGAGGAATGGATACTGCCCTGAAATGTTCAAGCTCGCTCTCCCAACTTAT